ACAGAGGGGAAGGTAGAGAGAAAGAGAGGCAGAGAAACATGAATGTGTGGTTGCCACTAGCCCGCCCTGTACTGGGGACCAGGCCCACAACCCAGGCATGTTCCCTGACTAGGAATCGAACCCACAACCCTTTAGTTCACAGGCTGGTACTCAGTCCACTGAGCCACACAAACCAAGGTTCATAATAATTTTTAAAAGCGCCAATTTGTATTAGAGCAAAACCTACATTTTCTAAAACCAATAAAGCAGAATAAAATTAGCATATCAACATTTCCTACCAAAAAAAGCCTAAATTGATCTTCTACATTTAATTCCTTTCTAGCTGTGGGTAAATACAAAGATATGCACAAAACACATAGCCTGTATTTTGGAATCTAGTTATTTGAATATGGCATAGTCAATCAAGTCTGTTTCTTTTTTTAAACAACCAAATGGCTTTTGGGATATTACAGAAAATTCTTGCAGGAGATAAAGGACAGGGAATAGGCTGGAGTAAGGAGGAATTTTAGGCAAACAACATGACGAGGCAATCGGAGGGAACAAGCTGAAGGGAATGAGGAAGAGACCTTACCAGAATGAAGGGTCTGTATCTGAAACTATTTGTTCTTAACTTGCCAATCTTACAACACAAAAGTTGGCATAGCTCAAATTGTGCTTGAAAACAGTCTTCTTTTAAAACTATGTGCCCAGGAGTGACCATCTCCCTCCAGGTTCAGAACACAGGAAACTAAAAGTGTGAGCACTGGCGTCAACCATCCCTGAGTCTATGGTTACAGATCAACGAGTGGGTGACAACCTCTCCAAGCCTCGTTCCTTCCTTTGTAAAAGGCAAAAAAAAACCCCAAAACAACACAACATACTTATCTCAGAAGGCGGAGGTGATGCTAAATGCGATCATGTGCGTACTGGGTCCAGTGCCTACCACATGCAAACCCTCAGTCAAAGCCATTTCTCGTTTGTCCTTGGCCTCAGCATACTCTCCTATTTGAGGTATCTGTTCCCCCTGTTATCCCTGTCATTATCTGTTAAACACAGAGAGGCAGCGTCCTACAGGAGCCCTGAGTCGGCGTTGCCAGGCACAGCACGTCACCATACGTGCACTTTCCAAAGTATGAGATGGGTTTCCACCTGGGCAAGACATAGCCAAGAAATTTCCTGGCTGGGGCAGAAGCTCTTTAGCATGGAAGCCTTACTGTCTGCACAGCCTGCCACCTGGTTTCTAATTCTCTTCTTTGATTCTACTTCCTGCAGCCGCCTTTTCCCTTTGTCCGGCCCTATTCTGTTTTCCCAGGGGTCCCTGTTTCCATCTGCCTCCTTGCCTTCTACTTGGATATCTGTGTCTTTTTAGTTTTTAACTACCTGTTGGTGCTAGCCATCTCTTCTCACCTTGCCTTTTGGAAGTTATGAGTTTTTCACTTCCTGACTGGCATGATGGGTCCCCTACCTTTTATCTTTTGACTCACATACCCTCCAGGCTTCTGCCTGCTTATGTAGTTTTTGATCTGTCTATCTGGTCTCTTTCTCTGACATCTGTATGCCAGATTTTGACCAATGCTTTGATATAACTTATAGGTATCACAACTCACAAATGCTCACCTTGATGATATTTCACCAAGGCAAAGTATTTAGCAACTGGTATGGAACAGACACTGCCCAGAAAGAATGGCTGTCAGCAATACACAGATGGCTGTTCTTGCATTAAATAGCTAAACAGAAGCCCCGCTCACTAGATTCTAGACCTCGCCAACCACCTTGACAAGAGGCCTCCTGTTTTTTCTTTAGGGCTGGTGTGTCAGATTTGCTTCTTACTCCTTATGTCCAGGTGTGGCATGGCTAACCCTGTATTCTGCTTTATGAACTCCTGTTATCCACAATCCTAGAGCTCACCTTCTCATTCCCTCTCTATTCAGCTGTCACCAGAGGAATCCAGAATATTGGCAACACACATGAAAGAGATGGAGAAGTCTTCATGCCAAAACAGAAGGGCAAAATATAAAAGCAGTACCATAGATATATTTCAGGTACAGCATCCTTGTAGCAAAAGCTTCTATATAACATTATTAAGAGTTATTTCTGTTTACATGGTCTAGAGTTTCTTTTGCACACACCTCTATGCACCTTTTTGAACCATTTAGAGTCTATAAGGAAACATCTGGTTGTATGTCATTTACAAATAAAGGGAATGAGAAGAAACCCTACATCTTCTATTCTGTCAAAAAGCTGGACCTGTTTTTTTTCTCCAACACCTCCCTAACTTAAGATAAAAAGAACCACCACCTGGAACTTCCTTCTGCATTTACACAGATCTTGAACACAGAGAGGAAAGGGACAGTGCTTTCAAAGTGGTTCTTGGGTAGGGCTAGAATTTCTAAGGTTTGGGAACTATTAATACTTCGAGGTTAGAGTTAGGAGATGGGTGTCCTAAGAACACGGTTCTTAGTAGCCAAAATGAACCAAGAGAGGGAGATTTCCCTGACCGGACTGGGAGCTTTCACGGATTCGCTGCAGCTGTCTGCCACCAACCACCCAGCCCTCTATGATGCTTTCTTTTTATTTACTCATTTATTTTATTGATATCTCCCAATTTTTTAATTTAAAAAGTTTCAATCTACAAAAAGGTAAAGGAATAAGACAATAAGCACCCGTATACCACTGTCTTTGATTCACCAAATGTCATCACTTTGCTGTATTTCCGAGCTTCCACCCCGACTCTTATACTTATTCCTGAACCAGCTGAAAGTTGCAGGTGTCATGACACTTTGCCTCTAATACCCACATCTCGAAAGAATAAGGACAGTGTCCTGCATAACCATAGTACCACTACCGCACCTAAGAAAATTAAAGGTAATTCCGTAATATTATCTAATATTAAGTCCATATTCAGCTTTCCCCAATTGTCTCTAAATCATCTTTTATAGCTATTCTTTTTCTGATCTAGGATCCAAAGTTCATATCTCCCAATTGGTTGTTACATCACTTGAGTATTTTAATCTACATACTTGCCCCTCCTCCAGTCTTTTTGGCAGGAACATACCATGTGTGAAGTTATGACCTTCTTACTGCATCCCAACAGAAGACTAATTCTAGGTACTGGTAAACTAGGCTGAAGTGAAAACTTGCTCATCTCTTCGCTGTAAGGACACATGTTTCCTAGATAACCTGTGGTGAGATACTTTGAAATAATGTGAAAATCCTGTTCTCCAACAACTTTTCACTCAAAAAATTTTAAAGATTTTATTATATATTTTTAGAGAGGGAGGAAAGGAGGGAGAAGGAGAGGGAGAGAAACATTGATGTGAGAGAGGAACACCAATGTGGGAAAGAAACAGCAACTGGTCGCCTCTCCTATGCGCTGGGGAGGGAACCTGCAACCTAAGCAAGGTGCCCTGACGTGGAATTGAACTGGGGACCTGGACATCGCCCAACCAACTGAGCCACACTGGCCAGAGCTCACTCAAACGTGTTGTAACTGCGGATGAGTCCTTGTCTGAATTGGTTATGTTAGGGTTTGCACTGCACTGGTTTTCTGGTTCTCTCATTCCTTCTATTGTGTAGTATTTATTATTCAAATAAACCAGTCAGCATCCAGTCCTCTTTCCTCAGTGTATATACTCTGGTTACTTCTTGCTGGGGCTTCCTACCCACAGCCTTATTGCCCACAGAGGACCACTGCAACTCAGCCCTGGGGGACCATTTGCTTCTCCCTTTACCTGCTGACCTCATCACTTCACCTTCAGCAAATCAAAAGCAAACACAACACGTTGCCTACAAATTTACAGTGACGTACAAAAATTAAAAGTAATAACGCATATTTATTGGGTTAGACTAAAGAGAGTAGATACCGGAAATCACTTATTTTTTGAAAAAATTAAATTGCGTAAGCCCGGAAAAATCTTTCCTCCTCATCAGGGTAAAGCCACTTGCCCTGTCACAATCAGGCTCTTTATGATGGTGTTGATCAGAGCCCCCTCGTCCCTTCGGTTCCCTGATACGAGAATTCTGGGAGAACACAGGTTTAGAAGTCATTTACCCAAACGTCCCATTTTACATGCAAGAGGCTCAGAGAGGTGAAGGAACTTGCCCAGAGTCCCTCAGCTTCTTAACTGCAGAGCTAAGAAGGAAACCCGTCTTAAAAACACCTGCTCCCCTGCTCTTTCTGTTCCCTTTCCAAGTGCCTCGTGATTCTGATGTCTAATGGGCAAGACAAGCCGTAGCATTTCATTGCTAATTTGCATTTGGCCTGCATCACCTTCTCACCTTTGAATACTTTAAGTAAAAACTACCATTAGAAAACTTGTTAATATTATTATTACGGCATTAAAAAAATCAAGCTTCATTTCTGCAGGTCAACAGGGTAAATTTAGGAAGGCTCAAGAGACCACTTGCTACCATTTCTTTAACCAGTAAAAATATAAGGGTCTCAAGGACCTGCCTGCATCAGGCCGCTCTCGGAATGCTGCTTGCTCGGAGGCTCAAACTCCCTGCGGGTGACAGCTCCGGGGATCTTAGAAAAAGAAGCCAGCCGGAGTCCACCCTTCCCCACCACTCCGCGTCGCCCGCTTTAACGATGCAGCGAGAAGCAATAGTTAGGCTCTGGGAGCTTGTTAAACGTTCAAAGGAGAGGAAAAGTGCGGAACAAAGCCCAGCGTGGAAAAACCCAACCCCGCAGCCCAGGGAGGACAGAAGACCGCGCCCTCCCTGCAGCGGCCCGGCGGGCTGCAGAGGCAAAGAAGCCGCAGTGCAGGGCGTGGAACCCACACCTCGCAGGCGCCTCCCGTCCGCGCATCCCCCACGCAGCGCTCTCCTCTGCGCAGCCCCGCGCACCCCGCGGGGCGAGGAGGCACGAGGTGGCCCCGCTCTCCGCGCCCTGCCGGCCGAGCGCCGATACCGCGGAGCATCCTCCAGCTACAGGGAGGGAGCGGCAGCCCCCGCGCTGCGGACCCGAGCTGCAAACAGCGCCTGGTCCCGGCCGGTCCCCACCTAGCCCTCGGCGCGCTCACCCGTCAGTGCGCCCATCCCGTCGCAGGCGGTGCGAGCCGTCAGTCCCTCAGCCCCAGGTAGCGGGGCCACGAGCAGGGGCGGCGCCGTAGCCCGGCGAGCGCGGCGATCAACAGGCGGCTCCCGGACGGAGGGCGGGCGCGGCGCCCAGGAGCGCGGCGGCAGCGGAGCAGGCTGGGAAGCGTAGTTTCGGCGGCGCGCCGCGGCCGCGCGGACGCCGGACCCCCGCCCTGGTCCGCGCAGCCCGGGTCTCTTCACTCCGGCCTTGCTTTGCAACTGTCTTCTCCCAGAATCTGCATCCCGACCCCGTAAGCGCTCTGCAGGAGAGGAGAGCTTTAGGCTTGGGAAAGGACGGTGCAGGCTCTTTTGAGAAGCTAGGGGCTGCAGATAGGGTGGGTGGCAAGGATTCTTCAGTATTGTGGGGAGCTGTTGGGTGAGTGAACATCTTAACGTGGAAGTCTTGTCAAGACCCAGTTCAGATGGAGACCAGCCTCAGAATCAGATTAGGCTTGCCCTAGGTTTTACGGAATTTACACAGGCCTGGGGCGCAAGCGTGGGAAGGAGGAGTCGCTGGGGTACATGCTTGAGGGGAGGGAAGTAAGCGAGCAGATCTGAAGGCTGGAGCACCAGGGTGTTTGAGAGCCCACGCACATGCGGAGGCTTCATTAGATGTGAGGCGAACAACTTAGCTTCTGACAACCTTAGTATTCTCATCTGTAAAGTAGGCGTAAAACAGGAGTTGTGAGGACCGAACACTATCAGGTGTATAGGAGAAAGCGCCCGTGGCTGTCACTTAGCACCTGCTCAATAAAGGTTCCTTCCTTGGGAGTCGCAAGGACCTTCCAGGGCATACTTTTTTTTTTTTTTTTTTTTTACCTGGAAAGCCCTACATATAATGCTAGCTAAAGATAGCTGGGCCTATCCCTGGCCGGCGTGGCTCAGTTGGTTGGAGTGTCTTCCCGTAAGCCACGGTGTCTATTTCCAGTTAAGGCATATGCCTACTGGGTTGAGGTTCCTTCCCATCCCAGTTGGGGTGCGTGCGAGAGTTCAACCAATCGGTATTTCTTAATCACGCTGATGTTTCTCTCTCTCTTCCTCCCTTTCCCTCTCGCTAAAAATCAATACCCATGTCCCAAATAAATGTTAAAAACCCACCGAGTTTACTGTCAGCTGTTTAGCTGGTTCACTTCATCCCTGACAATGCACTGAGATGTCCTCTCTGCCAGGTTCTTGGGACCTACAAAGATATACGGGCTTGTCTTTGAAGCATGGAAGTAGGAGGCGGTGACATAGGACAAAAATGGAAACTACTAATTATCAAACTACGTGGCAGAATGGGGTAACATTCCAGAAGTTTTTTCTAATGAGGCCTGGACCCTTGCTACATACTTCTATGTAACTCTTGCTTATAACATTTATCTGGACAGTTTAAGGTATGTTGAGTTTTGTCAGTAGCCACTATGCAGTATTTCACACTAAGGTGAGAGTTACAGCTCAGAGAGGTGGAAGAAAAATGATGGCCCTGGCTGATGTGGCTCAGTCAACTGAGCGCTGGCCTGCGCTGTATCAGGAAATAAAGTGAATTCTCTAAGGCTTTTTGGAACTAACATGATGAACAATAGCTCACAGGCACTGCCAACTGAGAGACCAGTGTGTTTTCCACTATAAAACTGTGGTAAGGGACGCACCCTGGGCCTCTTCACTAGAATGACAAATCTGATCTTGGAAAGAGTTAAATGAAAGGGAGGTGTGACCAAACCAGCTTAAATCACATTTCCCTGTTTTCCTGTTGTTATTCCAAATGTCCTGTGTAACTGACATGATATCGTTGACTTTATATCGTATACCTGTCACAAATCATAGCCTTCAGTTAAATAATGGGACTGCATACAGATCACGCTGGCAGTTTTCCCAGAGAAAACTGAAGGTAAGCATGCACTGAAAATAATAAAGCATTTTTTTAAAAAATGTATTTCTTTATTTTAGAGAGAAGAAGGTAGAAAGAAAGAGAGGGAGAGAAGCATCTGTGTGTGAGAGAAAAATTGATTGGTTGCCTCTCACATGCACCCCAACCAAGGACCAGGCCTGCAACCCAGGCATGTGACCTGACCGGGAATTGAACTGACAACCTGTGGCTTTGTGGGACAATGCTCAACCAACGAAGCCATGCCAGCCAGGGCAGTGATTTTATTCAGGTAGGAAGAAAGAGTAGTAAAGATTTGGTATAGCAAAGATACTCAGTAGTATAAAATGTCTGTGTGATTAAATGAATGGAACATTATTCAGATAAAGACTGTGAACGCAAGCAGGTACAAAAGTGATTTCAAAGTTACAGTTGGCAGCCAAAGCAGAGAGACAAGAACTACCTGACAGTCCCAGGGCCAAGTATAAGCTTCAGGAGGATGTTAACACCAAACTAAAGGAAAAATTATCAAAAGAACTTCTAATTGATCTCTGCATATACCAGGAGGGCTAGAAGCTGGTAGGTGTTAATGAATGAATGAGAGGTGTAAAATACTGAACTTTTCCATTTTTAATGTTAAAACTTAATGGACAGATATCATAAGTTTCAGTCTGTTTAGTTCTTTAAATCCATGTCTAAACATTTCTAAGGGAGAAAAGGATGTCAGCCATGTCTATGATTAGTTGAAACCCATCATCATTTCTGGAACATATATTACAGGTTTGAGTTTTCAGTTTGCTTTATGAAAAATGAAAATGTAAATTTGAAACAGAACTCCTAGAGCTGGAAGGGACCTTACAGATTATCTTTTCTAATCTCTCCTTCACGCAGTTAAGGAAGCTAGCTGATACCTCAACAGTAAAAATCACTTGGTAGAAAGTAAATTCTGCATGGCTGTTATAATGAAGTATTTTTATTATTTACAATGAAAATATAGCATATCTCAGTAGAAACACATAGTAGATGCTGTTGCTTGCCTACTCAACATCCATTCCACTCTCTTCTTCGTTAGGAAGCCTTCATGGATGTTCACCCAATAGGGACAGCGGCCCTATTACCATCTCGGAAGTATACTCCTACCTATCACTGGCAAGGAGAATAGGATCCTTCTTGACTGGCCAGTGAGCAATTAGAGGTGGGAATGTGACCCATTTCTGGCCAGGGAGACCTGAAGAGAGGTCTGCTGAAGACCTTCTGGGAAATGTTTTCTTTCTCTTAAACAGAGACATGTAGGGAAATATGCCACTGTCTCCACAGGATGTTTTTGCATCTGGCTGTGTTACCAGAGACTGAAATAGCCATTTCAGAACCATCAGGGGATCTAGCCTTAGGAGAAAGCCAGCACACCGATGATGGGAGAATAAAGAGATAGGATGAACCTGGGTCTGTGATGTTATTGTTGAGTCAGTAAGTCAATCAGCCCTGGTCTGCCCTACTTCTGGATTTCTTGTTATGTAAGATAATAAATATCCTTATTGTTGAGTCAATTTGAGATGGAGTTCTCTGTTACTTGAAGCTGAAAGTATCCTAAAAGTTACAGATGAAAAGTGAAAGTAAGTTCTTTGAATGGACTGGAGGGCTGTTTTCCAGAGTTAGTAAAACCAAACAAGAACTACAGCTAAACCCACAGGCAAAGGATGGGGATATTTTCATGTAACAGACAGATACCGGTTTTAACATTAGAAAGACCTGCATTTAAACCCAGATGTCTGCCTGCCTGACTGTGACAAAGTTTCTTTAACCTCTCTAAGTGTCCCAGGGAGCACTGCGCTGGGCACTCCTGGATCTGAGGGTCACTGTCCGGAGCCGGCTGAGGAGGAAGCGAGGCTCTGAATCCTACAGAGCCCATCCTGGGGTTGTCACGGAAGGGGGAATAAATACGAGTGTCACAAACACTTCTCTCTTTGCCAGGAGAGGGAGCATGGCTCTTCCCTCTAGTGGGGAAGACCCGGAGCCTCTGTGTCCAAAAGCTTCTTTTGAGAACCACAGGTGCAGGGGTATGGATGCAAAGCTCATCAATCAATGTCAAAAAGGCTATGTTTACAGAGAACAAATAGAGATCATAGAGAACAATTGGAGGAAGGAGAGAGATCTGCCTCAGGTCAGGGTCTATGAATAATGTAAATCTCCTTCTCAGTATTAGCTGGTTATCATCACTTTTGAGGGAAGAACAAAGCATGCCTCAAGGAACTTACTTCTAGGTCTGATTGTCCCCATAAACCGCCCGATCCAGTTTAGGGCTGTACCTGCCTTTAGTATTGTCTCAAGCCTGAGCCAGGCGGGCGGGGCAGAGACACCAAGAGGTAAGGAGACTTCTTTCAGATAGAATGAGGACTGTGGCCGAGACCTTGCTGAGCCGAGGGATTGCGGGCCATTTTGCCCTTTCTCCATGTCCCTAAAGTCTTTGTCTGCTGCCCATACCAGCTGTGTCTGTCTTAGGTCATCCCTCCTCATGAGAGGTCTTACCTGTCTTTGACTGACTGACCATCACAGGGCCAAGCAGGGTGATATGAGGGAGGCAGGGTCTGGGCCCCTGCCAGGGGGACAGGTTTTGTCTCCTCAGTGGCCTGTTTTCCCAAGGCCTCCTTCATTATTTCTAGCTGTGGGGCCCTCTCACATGTAATGTAATTACTAGTGTAATTGGCAGCAAGCATCTAAAAGTGAATCACCATATAATAGTGATCATGTTAAATGACATCACAGTAATGCAATCAATAAAATCCCGAGTGTGGGAAACTATAAGACAAACAATAAATAAATTGAAGGGGGGAAAAAAGGAAGAGCTTATAGATACATAGAAACATAAGAGAAATAACCAAATACAGTGTATAGATTTTGACCTAAACAAAGCAGCTGTTTTTTTAAAAAAATTCTTTTATTGATCTAGAGACAGGGGAAAGGAGGGAGAAGGACCTTCATGCGAGAAAGAAACATGGATTGATTAATCGGTTGATCAGTTGCCTCCTGCACGTGCCCTGATTGGGGACCAAACCCACAACCAGGAATATGCCCTGAATGGGAATAGAAACGACCTTGCGATTTGGTGGACAGAGCCTGACCAACAAAGCCACATAAGGCCAGGTCCAAAGCAGCTGTTTAAAATCCATATTTTTAAGACAATTGGGGGATATGTGAACACAGGATATTTAATTAT